TAGTTCGTTTTGAGTGAACTAAAATAAAAATAAAAGTTTTCATTAAAATAAATTAAATTCATTGACTTTGCACATTTCAGTCATTTCGTTTTAAAATTTTTTTAAAGTAATAATTAATGTTTAAAATTCGAGATTTGGATAAGAATAAAATAACTAAATAATTCAAACAGTTAATAAATATTCCTCATTTTTGTCTATACCTTGGCTTGTTGATTGATAATTAAAATTAATCAAATAATTATATTAATTTTTAATTAAAAAGAGTCAAAAATAATTGAAATGATCAAAAATAACAAAATAATGACGTAATTAAAATTAACGAATTAATTAAAAAAATTTGTTTAAGTAATTATTAATCATTAAAAAGGTGCTAATATCGGTATTTAACCATTAAACGGTCATTAAAAAATAAACATACTTTAATTAAAAATCATTATGAATATTAATCATTATTTAACAAGTATGGTATAATTACGAGTACGTACTCGCTTTAACGGTTTACAATATACCAAAATAAAAGTTATAATATTTTGTGTACTCTATTGTATTCAACTGTCGAAGTTAAATAAAACAGGGCATGAATACATAAATCGTTTTGTACTTGGTACAAGTCTGGTTATTTACGAACTAGTTCGGTTTCGGTCAGGAGATTCTAGTTACAAACTAGTATTTTTCCTGACTAGTTTAGCGTTTCACTGCAGGGGTACCACGCCCAAGTATAACCAACCTTGGAAGGTCTGCAGCAGATGTCCAAATTAAAAAAAAAAATGGCGCAGAACTTTTTTAGATTTTGTCCGCCGCACAAACAAACTTAACATTTGTATATCGATGGCTGAGTGGAAGATCTACCTATCTCGGCAGCCAGTTCGAAAACGCCCTATCTCAGAAAACTTTTCAACAACGCCCTACTTCAGAATTTGATTGAAGAACGCACTATTTCAGAATTTTATTGAAAAACATCCTATCTCAGAATTTTGTTGAAGAACGCCCTATCTCAAAATACATTGAAAATGTGCTGAGATAGGGCGTTTTTAAATCGGCAGCTGAGATAGGTCGATCTTCCACTCAGCCATCGATATATGCATATATATGTACGTACATATACTCATAAATATTTAATTCAATAGATCGGTCTTGCGTCGTCTACAAAGGTGTACCGAGCGTTCATTTACCTGTTGCACATAGTGATGCATTACAAGTTCCAAATCATCCATCCGAACTCGAAACTGACTATGATTGCAAACAGTCTATGGCAGCGCCATTACCACTTGATGATGTATCTGATTACATTCCGATTGAAAACAATTTACCGTCTTTCATATATCAAGAACACCTAAACAGCATGGTGCGTAAATTAAACCACTCCCGTAACAACGCAATGATTTTGGCATCAGAACTGAAAAGCGTGAATGTTTTAGCACCAGGAGTAAAAGTAACGGCCTACAAACATAGACAAGATCCGTTTATGCCATATTTCAAGTTATCGGAAGATGGCACTCAGGCTTATTGCATTGATGTTGCAGGTTTGATGAATGAAATGGGAATTACTGACTATAAACCCGAACAATGGCGTCTCTCTATTGACGCATCATAGCGAAGTTTGAAAGANGATGAATGAAATGGGAATTACTGACTATAAGCCCGAACAATGGCGTCTCTCTATTGACGCATCATAGCGAAGTTTGAAAGAAGTCTTGCTCTATCGCGATAGTAGCAAGAAACCCGTTCCCATCTTGTATGCGGTTGGAATAAAGGAATCATACGAAACAATGCAATTAATCTTAGATTGCATCAAGTGCGAAGAGCACAGGTGGCGCGTGAACTGTGATTTTAAAGTTCTCTCACAACTATCAGGCATGCAAACGGGCTACACTAAATACTGATGTTTGTTCTGTCATTGGGATAGGAGAGCCAAATGCAATCACTATACCAAATGTGATTGGCCAAAAAGAAAGGAACAATCGATTGGTCAATTCAATACAGTTTACGAGCCCTTGATAACGCTTAATAAAATCATGCTTCCCGATTTAAATATCAAACTTGGTGTTGTTAATAATTACATCAAACAGTTGGTTAGAGTCAACGAAACTGCATTCCTATATTTGAAAAATGATGCCTTTCCAAAACTTTCCGTTGAAAAATCCGTGAAGGTAGTTTTTTGATTGTATATGAATGAAAATCTCTCAAGTGGTTGTAAACCGAATAAAGTGATTTGTGCGAAAATATCTTGACCGTCCAATTTTGGGTGGCCCATTTGAGAGATTTTCTCTCTCTTGCTTTAAGAACCCTATAATTTTTATTTCAGGTGTGCTTAATGGGCCGGACATCAGAAGATTAATGAAGGATCAAGGCTTCTTGGAAATTCTTGATGGCACAGCAGCCGTTGCATGGGATGCAGTTCGGGCTTTAATTAAACACGTTCTTTGTAAAAATCGTTCACCAGAATATGCCCTTTTTATTGCGAACTTAATGGAATCTTTTGACGCCTTTGATGTGCACATGTCGCTTAAAANGCATGGGATGCAGTTCGGGCTTTAATTAAACACGTTCTTTGTAAAAATCGTTCACCAGAATATGCCATTTTTATTGCGAACTTAATGGAATCTTTTGACGCCTTTGATGTGCACATGTCGCTTAAAATCCACATGCTACACAGTCACTTTGACTTTTACGAGCAAAAGCTTTCAACAGAAACAGACGAGGCAGGAGAGAGATTTCACCAATCCATTATGTGTTTGGGGACCGATTCGCTGGAAAACGATTGAATTCGATGTTGGCGGACTTTTGCTGGTCGATCGCAGGAGGCAAAGGATATTAAAAAAATCATTCGAGCAATATAAACTAGCAAAATATGCCAAAACGGGATTGAAGAGAACCCAAATTTAGATCCTTAGATTCTTAGTGTTTGTGCGTAGAGGGTAAAGAGAAGGTTGCATTTTTCGGTAGAAACGAAATCGGGATAATATAATTTAAAAAAATATTACGAAATAAAATATGAGTTGTAACGCAAAACCACATATCTGAACAATCAGTTGTATGGGAGCTATATGTTATAGTGAACCGATTTCCATGATTTTCAGAAATAGCTAAGGTAATATTATAATACAGTCACGTGCAAAATTTTAGTAAAATAACCTTAAAACTGAGGTAATTATTAACAAAAAACCTAAAATTTAAGCNCTAGAAGAAATATCATTAATGAACATCAGGAACAGAATCGGACCAAGGTGGCTTCCCTGAGGAACTCCTGAAGAAACTTTAATGATGTTGGATGAACAATTATTAACAATAACTCTTTGTGTTCTATCAGAGAGGTAAGATGAGATCCATTGAAGAAGACTGGGCTGAAAGCCGATTAGGTCGAGTTTACGGATGAGTAACGAGTGACATACCTTGTCAAAAGCTTTACTGAAATCGGTGTATATTACGTCGGTATGAGCATTTTCTCTAAAACCGTTAGTGATAGTAGATTTTCCTTTAGAAAACCCGTGTTGAGATTGTGAAATTGAAGAAGATGTAGAATATGTCAGCTGATTAGCAATAATTGCTTCGAATACGCATCCTCTGGCAAAACCAGGGGATCACACCGATTAATAGAGACCTTCGGAACATCATCAACGTAAACGAGATCCAAGACCTTTCCAAACTTATTTGGACATATATTTATTTGTGTAAGGCAAGGTTCAGCCATTTCCTCCAGAAATACATTATAACTATCTCAGATGCCGTAAGCATTGCATTTACGGTCTCAAGTAAAGAAACTAGCTGCATATATACTGATACGGCAGAATTGGAAGCTACATCAATTTTAAAAGATGAAATATCGCGATCGTATTTAAAATTAAATTTACGAATAAATACATCTTTAGTTCTAATTTTAATCGATATGTATGACTTTATATCATCCGAAGAAGTATCTTTAGCAAATCTAGAGACAAAGATTGATCTTCTCAGAGGAATTGCAACCAACTTTTTGGTAATGATGTCTGATGTGCGGGGCTCCGAATTATTCGGAGGAACTAAGTTAGACAGTGCAGCTTCAGATTTTGATGGCAACACTGTTAAATCAACGGTTTGACTATTTTTAGATGTAGACCTAGTGGATATGGCTTTAGATAGCGGAGGCTCCAATGCCTGAGGGCATGGAGAAGAAAGATTAATAAGTTCCAAGGACTGGGATAGAGGATTTTTCTGACTAGATTCAGTGGCTGTCTTTCTAGGTGGACTAATAACACGCATACCTTTGTGTTTGTGTGGAGGGTTGTCGAGACATGTGAAAGACCTAAACATTTTTTCGTAATGCTTAAATTTTTCACCAAGCACCGACGGATCCTTCCCTATCTCAGAAAAACCATTTCTGGACTTCCTAAAGAATTTAAATAAATCAACTTTGGTTGATCTACATTTTTGACAAGACCAACGAAGACCCTTTCCCTCGTTAATAGCGTCTAACACCCTACCGCTCAGCTACCAGCACAGCAGAGCCAGCATGACACACGGCACTACAAAAGTTCGTCACAAGTTTATAAGCCTATTTATTTTGAAAAAAAATTTTTGTTAGAACTTTTCTATAAAACTGCGACAATGCATTAACATTTTTTTACCTAAGATTAACAAAGTTGTGGAAACCAACGTATCTGATTTGAAATTGTCTTGGATGGCAGAAAGGATTAAAAAGAAAACACACAACATGGTACTTTAGATGAGCTTTTGCATATTTTAAGTTATTAAATATAAGTGGTTTTTGTAGTAAAGTTAAATAAATATTATTTTGGACGATACTACGAAGATTTCCCGGTAAAAAATTTTAGTGTAGGATGACTTTTGACTTAGTTAGAATTTTAAGGATAATCGAGTTTTATTTTTTAATCCTGCAATAGAAGATCCCAATTTTAGCTCAAATAGTTGTTTATGATGACAGAATAAGAATGCGAAGAAAAAATGGATGAACAAAGCCTTTTGGTTAAACCTTGCCCAAGCGAACCGTACGTGTAACGTGGCCAGTGTTTTGTGTAACGTTGCCAGTGCCCAAATTTTATGAGCAAAAATTGTCAAAAACCTAAAATTTACAACAATTAGGTAAGCAGAAGACCACCTGCATTCATTGTAGATGACATATTGAAAAAGGTAGCAATATTCGGTCACTCGTTTCGCAGATATTTCAAACTTTCTGACACAACCCATCATTAAACTTCCAAATAGTGTAACGTAGCCAGTGCACAATCGAACGCCTATAACTTTGAAACCCAAGGATTTATTAAAACCTTTCTTTTACAGATACATAGATTTGACCGTGCCTGATCATATCACCTAAAAATCCCAGCTGGTTTTGTGTTATATAGTGGACAATTGATTCATATTTAAACGAATGTAACGTAGCCAGTCAAATAATCGGCCATATGTATGTGTGTATGTGAAACTAATCTCATACTCATTGAGAAAAATGAGAGTTATTGGACACGGTGGTGTGGCAACTTCCATGCAAATTGATTTTTCTATACTGCATATCTCTGGAGATGTTTATTGCAGAGGATTGGAACTTGAGACCGAGATGTGTATAGAAAATTAATTCCATACTCATGGAGAAAAATCTGCGTTTTCGAAAAAGGGGCATGTACCTCCCGTAAAAATTTACTATTTTATACTGCATATCTCCAGAGTGTTCATGGTAGAGTACTGGGACTTGGTACTGGGGTATGTAAAATCAATTACAAACTCATGGAAGAAGATTAGGGTTATAAGAAAAAGGGGCGTGGCACTTCCTGTACAAATAGACTTTTTCTTGCCACATATCCCTGGAAGTATTTGTGGAAGAATACTGGAACTTGTTTTTGTTGGAGTTGTGTATACAAAATGTATCAATTGCTCATGGAAAAAATGTGAGTTATTAAAAAAGGAGGCATGTCGCCTCCCATGCATACTAAAACTTTCTTAATACATATTCTGGATAAGGATAGAAAATCTGTGGAAGTATTTTAAATTTGTTATAGAGATTTATTTTATAAGTGCCGTACTGGCAGAAAAAATTTCATATAATGGAAAAGGGAGAACCGGCTTCGGGATAATCAGCGTTGCCAGGTTGACGTTTTTAACGTCATTTGGACGTTTTTTGTATCCTGTTGACTTTTGGAAGTTTTTTGTGTAAAAATGACGTTTTTTAACTTCACAGTAATTTTCTCTATGCACAATATATTCAATGTATATTTAGCGTACTATTTGCTTGTAGAGTACAGCGTGGCGACGAATAACTGTTACCCTGGTTTTTTTGAGAAATAAAAGGGTCCTTTATAGATTTTGAGAAAAAAGTATTCTATTGTTAATTTTCCACAGATTTTACTTTAGTTGTACATATTAATTAGCTATTAAATTTTAATGCCTATTTACATTTGCCAGCAGTTTAAACTTTGAGAGAAAAGTTCATTTGGCACGCAAGTCTTTTTCAGGTGTATTTGTTCTTAGGCTTTGTATAAAAAAATACAAAAAAGAAAAGAACCGTATAAGGTTGGTCGAATGAATGGCCGTCCTAGTCACCAGTTCCGAGTCCATTCGATTTTTGAGTATGAGGCCTTATGTTGAACAATGGAGAAAATTTGCCTATGGTTACAGAAGATGTGGAATAAATTAACTGACGAAGACCTGCGTGCCAAATGAACTTTTCTCTCAAAGTTTACACTGCTGGAAAATGTAAATAAGGATTAAAATTTAAAAACTAATTAATACAACTAAAGTAAAATCTGTGGAAAATTAACAATAAAATACTTTTTTCGCAAAATCTAGAAAGGCCCTTTTTATTTCTCAAAAAAAAACCTGGTCCGCGTTGGCGCCATCGCGTGACCGTCCGCGTTTGCGCGCCACCACTGATTTCGTACCGTTCGATTTTATGCTTATACTGCAGAAGGGAATTCAACGCAGAACTACACTGTATACTCCAAATTAGGGATGTTGCGAATATGGAATTTTAGACATCCGCGGATGCGAATGCGAATGCGGATGTTTAAAAGCTAACATCCGCGGATGCGAATGCGAATGCGGATGTCAAATACAGTGAAAGCTCCCATATGCGGACACCGATGGTCACCTTTTTTGTCCGTCTATGAAAGATGTCCGCTTATAGGAATTTCGTAAAAAATAAAATTAAAATTCATACTTAAAAAATTGAAATTGCGGGTTTCTAAATTAAAACAATATTTATTCTTCAATAGACAGAAACAGGGTGAATTAAAAATGAATTCAAATTTATGACGTTTTTGTTTCCTACCGACAAATCTCATTGCCCATTGCCCATTGGCAACGAAAAGGTAACACTTCTTCTAGAAAAGAAAATATTTTTGAATACGGACTATGTTCTTGTGTACAAATACATATGTAGAAGCGCAAGAGTCAACATTTGACTGAAAAACAAAACAAAATTGACCGCTTGTTAGAGCTTCGCGTCCGCTTATGGGAGAGTTTTTTTTATAACTGGACATTTTTGAGTGTCCGCGTCCGTTTATCGGAAAGTCCGTGTATGGTAGAGCATTTTGTATGGAAAAAACCAA